AATTTCGATTTTATGGAAAATCTCAGTGGACTCGAAACAAGTCTTTATATCTCTTTTGTGGGATATCTGCCAGAAATCCTCAGAAACTTTGGAATAAAAAGAAGGGAAAGGTCTCGTTTGTGGCTGAATCTGAGAGGTTTTTTTCTATTAGCTGCCGGCAGGTTTCAGATGTGTTGCATCAGCATCTTTTGGTTTAATGTAAAACGCAGCTTTTGACTCGCCTGATTGGCTCATGTTCATGCATGAATGTGAAGGACAGATACTTCATCTTCATCTTCTGTGCATCAGGTTTTTTTTTTTTCACTTAATCACAGCAGATATGCACAGTGTTGTCATTTGCACAGCATTTTGGAAACTTTCCACTGTCAGTCAGATAGACCGGCTCGTAACCTTTCCCTGGTTTTGCAGAAACTCCTTCACACGGGTGGAATCTCTGAGCGCTTCCTGCCTGTAGCTGCAGACGGGGAGCAGCCAGAGCAGGTGGCCTGAGATTAATGTTGTTTATGCGCCCAAAACCAAACCATCCGCTCTGGGATCCTGTTGTCCGGCGGCCTGCTCCAGAATGGGGGCTCCCTGTGTGGTTTCCCCGCTCTTCCACTGGAATGGCTTTGAGCGAAACCTGTGAGGGCTCCAGGTATTTGGGAGCACAGTGGGACCCTTTGTTGTCTCCCACCTGTTTCGGGCCGCTGGTTAAAGTCTACCCTGCAGCTGTCCGCTCGTTAAACCCACCGGTCACAGCTGGAATGAGCAGTTGTTGCTCTCGGCCCGTCTCCCACGGTGACACCAGCACGACGGGGTGGATATAGGTGTCACTCATTTGGTTAATTTACATCAAGCCGCTCACGTGTGAACTCCTTTGAGTGAATTTTTTTTTATTTTCCTTTGCTTTATCCAGCTTTGTGATTGAATGGATTCATCCTTTTTGTCTCATTGTGCCACCATAATGATTTTTTTTTGCTTTTGTTTGCATCAAAGAAGCAGAATTTCCTTTGAACAAGAGAATTTTGATCCTCTTTAACCTTCATACGAATAGGGAATCTTAATCTTTGAGGCTCCTTTAATGCAAACTGTCCTCTGACGTGCACGTCTGCAGGCATCTGTAAAACTGACAACTGTTCATTCCCTCAGAAAAAACTGAGGAAACGTGTAAAGAAGCATGGCGAATCGGGGGAATGGTGACAGTAGTCACGGCTGTCTCTTCGTGTCCAGTCACGCTTTGGGGGAAACACCCTGGACCGACTCTTCCCGCGTGTCCCCGCACAGATTAGGCTCACTGCTGTAAGCGGTGACCGAACCTTTTAAGGCCCAGTGCCAGTCACGTCGTGGGCAGTCTGGGAATGGTGTGGAGGAGGCTAATGCGTGTAGGCAGCTTAACCACAGCCTGTAACGAGCTCAAATAGCAGCCAGTCATTTTGTTTAGAGGGCCGATGTTGAGTTTTGTCCACATGAACTTATATTCTGTCTTGTCCACTGTAAAATGGAAGAGTTCACCTGTAGGAGGTTATCTGTTTAACAGTGGTTTAAAACAGTATCTAAATCAGTTTTGTGTTGTTTAAATGTACTGACAAGATGCTTTAAACGCTCTCACCCCCCCCTTTCCACTTTATTAACCATACGGGGAACTCATTTATGGCGAGGGAGAGCGGAGCATCAACAGGAAGTGGCAGGAGGAACGGGAGCGTGCTGTAATGCTCCTGGTATGCCGCAAAGTCCTTTTGCACGCTTGTTTAACGGCTTCACAAGCATCATTTTGTTTTTAGGGGAACGTTCTCCGTCCATGCATGTTACGGAGGGGCTAATTGAGTTCAAGTGTGGTGAAGGAAGCCGGTGGCCACTAACCAGCCGTTAACTCTGCATGACAATCAGCACCAACGGAGCCTGATGAGGAACCTTTTAGATGACAAACGGGCCTCTACAAGCAATTATTGTCCTCCACAGACCTCCATCAGCAGCTGGAGTAAAGCTGCTTTGACCCAGTGAGGAGAAAATGGCAGTTCATGGAACACATAAAGCAGGAATTTGATTTTAGCAAATGTAATTTGGTAAAAAAACTATATTGAGTAGATGTTAGCTGAATATAAAAGTTTTAAATGTAATTCATGGTGTATGGTATGAATCAGATTGATTCGTTGTTTATATGAGGCTTTTTGTGTTTTAGGTAGTTGTCTATGGCTAAATTTGCAGTTCATGGTGAGTCAAAAGTCACAGGACGCGGTTTTGTGGTGGAAATGCCATATCTACATATACCAGCAGGGAATGGACGTCCTCTCTATCAGGCAATGTTTCTGTGTTGATAAGCCTTGAACCTCAAAAAATGTTGCTAATCAGATTGCTGCAATTGATTTTGGACACAATTCTGGTCTTCTCTGAGGTGCTAAATTACCTCCTTCCCTTTAGGAAAGACTTGCTCTTGATTCAAGATGGCAGCCTCCTCACCCATTACGTTCTGGGGTCTCCCGATAGGTTGTTTTCCCTTTTTGTTTCGGAAATAAGACTGTGATAACATTAATTTTTAATGTGCTTCAATTTTTCAAATGGCTTTTTCAGTTATTGTCCGTTTGTCCAAAGTTTATGAGAAAATGACCAACACTAATTCATTACATTCCTATAATAATATATTGATTTATTGCATATATTTAAAGGACAAATGACCCACACTACCTTTTCCTTTATGGCGAATGAGAATATGTTAACTTTGACCCAATAACTTTAAGGACTGGTGCCATGCACTACCCCAAAATGTGAAAAACAATCCTCCAAAACTTTAGAATTCTCTTTTGATCAAAAACTACACAATCCAGCTGTTTCACACCACACTCAGCCAACATCCCAGATGTGGGATATAAGTCTTTTTTCCCCTCTATGTTTTTGGGAAGCTGCTGCTGGTGGAGCAGCAAACACGGGGCACTTGCTCCGGACCCAGAAAAAGCTGCGCACGGCCCTGTGGTTCCCGTCTGTCTGACACGGTGAGCCCACTCCGCACGGGCACGCGAACGCGTCCACATGCTCTCCCTTTTCCCTTCTCTGATCCTGTTCGGACATCTGAGGGACTGAATGTGTTCAGAGCCCGGATGGCCTGCGTTTGACCGAAAGGCTGGACGCTGCGTCCGGATGCCGGACTGAGGGGAGGAGGCGCTCCAATCCCCTCTCCCTCCTCATTCCGTCGCTGGTTAGAGGCATTACGGACACTCCGCCGTGCGTGGCGGCTTTAAATGCGAGCGTGGACGTGGTTCCTGCAGTGGGAAGGTGAGCCGGAGCTGTCGGGGTTTTGTTTTTACGCAGCGGGATCATTTCTGATCCGGTGTTTTCCGCGCGTCCGTAACGCGACGGGCAGCCAGGGACCCGCTTAAACCAGCCCTGTCTGCTTAATTCAAGGTGTAATTGATGGGACTTCTGGGCACAATCAATGCCTGGTAGTGACTAATCACCGGGGTAGAAACAAGAGCGCATTAGACTTATTAGAGCATTAAGAGTAAGAGCCCCACTCGGGCAGAGGAGTGCGTCTGGATTGGAAACTTGGTGTTTTAAATGGAGAGTTGTGAGAGTTGGATTGGGGGCGTAAAACAGGCACCTTCATCATGTCTTTGGCCTTGTAGTGCTGAGTGAATTAAAGGGGAGAGCTTCTGTTTTATTGCTATTGAAGCAGCTCTGTAGCTTCTCATACCTGATGTTTTTCTTCATATTTTACTAATCAAGATTCCTGTCCAGTGGATCAATTTGTTCTCATCAGTTTGAAAAAAAGTGTAGTTAACCATAAAAGAAATGCCCACAGAGATGAACCAGATTGTGCACTGAGTTGTTTATGACTTCAGCTCATTATGTTTTTCATTTGATCATTTTTGCTTCAAGATAACCTGGCAAATGGTTTTGAAAATAGATTTTTAATTGAAGAAGACACCATCCTGAGAAATTATGAAGTTAACCTTATGTATCCACCCACAAACCAGTTAATAATATTGTACAAACCAGCTGCTCCATTATGGGATGCGCTCCCGTGTAAACATACCTGTAATAAAAGGTAAACTAAAACTGGGCCACAGGGCTTTTCTCCTCTTAAACCTCTCTTTTTTTCCACAGATGACAGCTTCAAATGCATTCCTGGTATTTCCTGCTGGTTCACGGCTGTGAACGCGTGTTTGTGACGGCCTGTAAACATTTTGGACTTGTTGAACGCTGCGAGGGGGGGAACTCACATCTGCCGGCTGCTAATGAGGGCTCGTCCAGACTGACAGGAAGCATGAATCTGTCTGCGTTTAGCACCCGATAGCTCAGGCCTCCCCTGGTTCTGATCCGTGCCTCTGAACCTCGTCGACGTGTTCGCTGTTGGACTTCTGCGGTTTGAAATCGTTGGGATTAAACCGGATTCCTCCGCTGCTCCGTGGTGTTGTGTTCAGGGATATAAATAGTCCTTATGCAGACCTCGGCCTATGATGCAATCGGTGGGGCAGCGTGCCTGGTGGTCAAAGGCATGAATAATTAAGCTGTTGCTCTGACCCCCCCCCCCATCCTCTTGTCTTTCATTTAATTGATCAGCTCCTGTTTTAATAGAGCAGGTGCATCCCTCGGTTGCGTTTGGTGGATGAAGCAGGAGGAGGTTTGGCTGTCATGGCGACGGCTGTAGCCAGATTTGGCATTTTGAGGCGGGTCCAGACCCCCCCCCCCCCCCCGGTCTTTTTGGTCAACCCCCCCTTTGGGGGCTGGGGGGTATTCAGCCATCCTTTAATGGAGCAAAGGGGGGGGGTGAAAAAAGAGAGAGGGGGGTTTGTTGGGGGGGGGGGGGGGGGGGGGGGCAGAGCTGTGTATTTTCTGTGTACCTGCTGAGATCATTGTGAGTTCTTTATCAAATCAGAGCTGAAAGGGGAAAATGCTTATTTTTCCTCTCATAAATGTTGGCTGAACTATATAAACGGCTGATTATTTCTGTTTGTTTCTGTTAGGATTTTGCCTTGAGAGACGCTGGCTACTTCAAACCAGACGGAGTAAAATTGGCATCTCTAATAATGACTTGTAATTTTTTGTTCCAGGCGGAGACAGAGAGCGAATGACAGCCAACCATGAGACCTACCTTCTTATGGCCAGCACCCAGAATGACATGGAGGATTGGGTGAAGACCATCCGGAGGGTCATCTGGGCCCCTTTCGGTGGAGGTGTGTATAAACAAAAGCACGGCTTTTATGGCTCTGTTGGCCTTTGATTTAAAAGACAACTTCATGGCTTTTGATAGCAGAGCTTTAGGATAAACCACCAGATAACATCCCTTCATTTCATACTAAGCACCAATGATTGTCAACCAGTTACAAATTAGAAAGACTTTTAAGGTTCACAGTATTCCAACAACACATAAAACTCCAATAAAAATGGTCCTAATATTGTTGTTAATATCCTAGAAATGGCTGGCCCATAAGTCTGAATTCAGTAAAGACACAAAGTTCCTGCTGAGTTTGCAGAAATTTGCATCGGATGAGCAGATTATACAGATTCCTTATACTAACTTCAGTTAGCTTGAATTCCTGCCTTTTTTCTTAGGCATAACAGACAAAAAAAACACAAGAATTTTAACAGTTTGACATGCGATATTTTGATCCTATATTACAGGCTTTATATGGAAAAAAAAACTCATATCTTGTCTCATATTTGTATTGAGACAAATCTGGTCTCATTTGAACCATAATGAGGCCCCAGATCATACAAATTAGAACATTTATTTAAAACTTAAAATCCTATTTTTTCAGGTGGTACTGATAATGACTTTTTGCATGATTTATGGGTGCAAATAACGAAAAACAAACGGCTACGTCCACATGGCGTCATGCCACATGTTGCTGGTTGAAACCATGACATCTAAAACAACTGGGCTTTAATCTCCACTTATGTTTTATATCACAGTCTTCCCTTAAGTCTGTCTTCTCTGTTCTGCCTATTTGAGTTCATAATAACAGATTTAAAAAAAACAACTCAATGTATGTTTAGGTCTGTTACGTGTGGTAAACCAGGAAATGATAAACCGTCAAATGACATGAGATAAGCCATCAAATAAACCGACGCTGTAATTCTCTTAATGAAGATGTTCCTGACTCTGGTGGAATCGGTGTGCTGATTACTGGGGCTCCAGCTGTGCCGTCTGGGTTTGTTATCATTGCCCGTGCTGGCAGACAGTGGCCTACTTTGTGCGGGGCGTTTGTGCCCAGGCGGGCAGCTTTCATTGACAAAGTGAATGGACCCGGCCGGGGCCGGCCCCCTCTTGTTTTCAGAGCAGCGAGTTTGACGTCTATCGCAGTTGACTGCTCTTCAAAAGGACGAGCCGTTTTGTCAAAGACGCGGCCGGACCGGTGGCTCCATGGCGCCCCCCCCCCTTAAACGTGCAGAGAGCACACACATCGGGGTTTTGCAGAGGCAGCACAGACCGACTGAGTCATGAAACGAAACCCGGGGAGCTCCAAAACAAAGCCACGTTACGCCGGATGCTTTTTGTTGTCGTGCTGAGCAGCCTGAAGAGGAGAGCAGACTCTGACATGTGCAGCTGTGGGTTCTCCGTCTGGATCCTCGGAGATTTGTTCCATGGTAAATGCCACTTGTTTTTAAATACGGAGGCTTTATCAACTTGATAAACCCTTTGTGATATAGGAAAGATCTTCCTTAACTTCAAAATCACATTTCCAGCCTTTACAATAAGTTGCATAGCTTAAAAGTGAGATTTCTCTGATGGTCATTTCAGCGTTCATCCAACTAAAAGCCCCTTTAGATTCTGTTGACCTCAGTGGTTTTAAGCCTGCTTTGACAAATGGAGCTAAGATGTTGAAAATGAGCTTCGGAAATCTGCTTCGTCTGTTTTTCTTCAGCTCTGCCGGGTTTCTCTCGTGGAGCTTAAAGGTTTTGTGGGCCAAAGAGATTCAGCATCGAGCTCCTGTCAAAGTTTATTTACCAACTATTGAAAGAGTCCACAGGCAGATCTGAAGGATGGTCGATGAGACTTTAAGAAATGGAGATTCTGGGCTTCCATCCAGTGCTGTTTCCTCTCTTTTTGTATATGAAATCTACATCAGCAGATAGCAAATATTTATGATGCAGTGACTGGGATTTAGCATAAGTGTTGTTAGTGACGCACTTTATGTTGGTTTGGAAAATATTGAATATGTTCAATGATTTTTAATACAATGGATTTTAATATAGAAAGAAGCATTGTTGAATTAAAAAAAGTTAAAACCTAATTCTCTCTTTGAAGAACATTAACTAATCAAAGCTAAATAAATCAGAGAACGAGTCTAAAAAAACAAAGGAGAAATTATACGAACCCCAGAGTGTCGAAGTAAATAACTGATTGCTCGCAGAGTGTTTGGAGGTCCTTTTTTCTTATTTGTTCTTTTGCTGCCTCACATGGAACAAATTGTTAGCCTTTTTTTGCATTTTACGCCATTGAAAGTTTCTGTTTTTAGTGAGTTTTTTAGCTTTATGTGACTTCTGCTCTGTTTTGTTTGGAGAACCATAAAGCTGACTCGCCTCAAGTTCTAACAAGATCTACCTTTAAATTCAGCTTCGCTGCTTATGGTTCCTGTCCTTGTTATTTGAAAGATGCTAATATACTGGCACTTTACGCTCTACACTTCTGGAGTGTTATCTTATCAAAGATGTATAAATGGGCAGCTCTTCCAGAAGCTCTTCAGATGTGTTATTTTTCAGGAGAGGTGAGTATGGCAACACGTTTTTACCTTAAAACCGTCCACATGCCTCTAACTCAGCTGTTTTAAAGCACTGCTGACCCTTTAAACTCTGACTGGACGCAGCACCCTGTAACGGAGTGTTTATTTCGGCTGAAATGCACCTTGTGGGTTCAACCGGGGCGGTACTTTGCTGTTCCACGTGCATGAATGTGTCTGAGCCTCTGTCTGGACCTGGAGACCGGAAAAGTATGCAGATCTCAATCTGTGGGGCAGGCGGCCTTAATCCTCCATGTGCTGCGTCCACATGAGGAAGCTGCAAACGGCAAACGGCCCCCGACTAAAGGCGAGAAGGGCTCTGTAGGAAGTCGGACTCGATGATAACGTTAACCCGATTCTTTAGTTGGAAACCTGAGAGCAAACCAGAGTAGATCAAACTTATAAAAATGACATTTATTGGACACGGTTAAGTATATCAGCTGGGCTCTAAAAGACAAAAACCTCTCTCTGGGTCTCAGTGGGCAAAGAGCCCTGAGATCTGGGTGATGGGCATTATCTCCTGGGCTCCATCCGCCTCCTCAAAGGAGGACTGGACACAACCAAGTCCTATTGGCCAGTTACCTCTGGGCATGAACAGGCCAGGTCCTAATTCATGCAGATGACAGGAATGTGGTAACAAATGGTGTGTGTGTGTTAACCTAAAGGTGGATCTAATGCAACAGAGAAAGAAAAAGAGAGAAAGGAGAGTCTGTGGACACAGCCAGAGACTTCAACACAAAGTATAGTTATATAAGGAATAAAACAATCCGTAATTTACATAGATCATGTGATACCATGCAATGCTAAAGTGAGTACTTAAAGCCAAATTCTAACAATCAGAACAAGCCCACGTGTGTGTGTGTGTGAATGTGTTTTTCTATTAGAAAATGTAAATCCTGTTTAAACTGATTTAACTGCTGTCTTCTAATGTTCATGTTGGGCTCTTTTATTAATATTCTAGTTTCAAAATCATGTGTCTGGATAAGTAAACAGAGAGTCAAACTATATTCTGAGGGCTGTGGCATTAGACACCTGCTCTGGAGGCAGGGCCCTGACCGATTCTGTGGGTTTGGGCTTCTTTCGCTCTGCCATGAAAGGAGGTTTTTACACTTATTTTTCATTACGGAGACCAGATTCCTTCTGGAATGAGCATTAAGCGCCGTCACCGGATTCTTTTAAAGGCTTTGTCCTGCGTTTCAGGGATTTTCGGGCAGAAGCTGGAGGAGACGGTGCGGTACGAGCGCAGATTCGGGAACAAGCTGGCCCCCATGCTGGTGGAGCAGTGCGTGGACTTCATCCGGCAGTGGGGGCTCCGGGAGGAGGGCCTGTTCAGGCTCCCGGGACAAGCCAACCTGGTCAAAGAGCTGCAGGACGCCTTCGACTGTGGAGAGAAACCATCTTTTGACAGGTCGAGACTTTGATTGCGGAGCTTTGCAGCCATTGATTTCACGGACGGCTTGTTTAGCTCAGCAGAAACTTGGAGTAGAATCCTCTGTGTCAAACCGGGGACCATTAGGGAAATTAAACACAAGTCTGGCCCCGCATCAAAACAGTGTCTGACAGAGAGGATGTCTGGTTTTAAAACGTTATTTCTGCATTGTAAAGTGCACAGTAAACGGAAAGAAATTTTTTCTCCACTTAATGTTAGTCTCATAGTGCAGATAAAGCGTGTGTGTCTGCTTATATTCACACAGTAGCGTGAATATAAGCAGACAGCTGCACAGAACAGCTCTGTTGGCTGGTAAACAGAAGTCTGACCTCTCAGAGACACTTCACTTCTTTTTCTTGATTTGATATTCCTTCATCCGTCATATAAGTTGACAGAGAAATACACAAAAACTGAAACATGTCTCCCCTCCATCCATCTTTCACTCCCCCCCCTCCCCCCTTCTAATCTAGAGGCTATAAATAAATCCTGGCCTGGACTTTCTGTATCCAGGCTGTAAATCAACAGCTCGCCACCTCCCGTGAACATGGAGTATAAAATCTCACTTAGTGCAACCTCAATGTCAGCTGCACATTTCTACCTTCTTTAATCTTCTTCGCGAAGGCAGTAGCTACAAATTCCTCCTCCTCCTCCTCCTCCTCCTCCAAGAAGTGGCCCTCACCTTTCCCATTAGCCCTTATAGCCCCCTGTCTGTCTCACCAGCTGCTCCCTCTTGGCTCCGTCCAGCCTCGGTCCACAAGTTGGAAACCATTTTTGCCTTTTGGTGCATCTCCCAAAGCGAGGGCTGGTATTTTTCATCCTCTCAGATACTGTAAATCTTTTCAAACTCTCTGTAATTGCTAGCCTTTCATTTTCCCGATCCTCCCTCTCTCTCTGGGCTCAGATTTAACAGTTTAAAGCTCTTCTTGTTCTTATTTATTAGCAGCTTTTAATTAAAAAAAGCTAATAATTAATTGAAAAAAGTATTTTGTTTCCATGAAAAATGACGATATCGCCGTCTTTTCTCCGTCCACAGTAACACGGACGTGCACACGGTGGCCTCCCTGCTCAAGCTCTACCTCAGAGAGCTGCCAGAGCCCGTCATCCCGTTCCAAAAGTATGAAGAATTCCTGGCCTGCGCCAAGCTCCTCGCCAAAGACGACGAAACGGTAAGAGACCAGGGACTCTTCCTCCTAATTTCCAATCGCACGCTTTGCCTCTGCAGGGTTCAACAAAAACAAAAAATTCAATGGGAAAAGCTCACTTTTCCCCACAAATGTGTCCAATTAGGAGGAAATTTACATTTACGCAGTAAAAATAAGAATTTCTACTATTCCAAAGAGTTTAAAAGCAGAAAATAAATAAAAATGAGCTCAACAAAATGAAACAATCTTTGTTTAAATAGATTAAAAGTGAAGTGTGCAGATAAATTTACAGTTTACAGTTTTAAATTTATAGTATTTCCCTCCTAAAACCCGTGATTTTAGTTTATCTTGCAGCACATTTCCTGGACAACCCCATAAGTCTTGTTTTGTGGCACAGATCTGGTCCCCGATCTGCTTGACTGTGTCTCCACACAATGCCTTTAGTGTGCCAGTTTCTAACGCAGGAGAGGGGTTTCTGCTGGACATATTTCTGCCCAGCATAGGGGTCACAGCGTCCAAAGCATTCTGCCCTTCATTAGCCTTCATAGAGCTTCTGTTTTTGTTCATATGCATGAACGTGCATCCACAACTGCGGCAGGTTTTTGTTTAAACGACCCCCCTTTTTCTTTTTGAAAGAATTCAGAGCCTTTGAAATAAAGAAGGAACCGACTTCTTTGTTTAAACTATTTCAGAGTTAGTCAAGTAAAACCTGGTTTGGTTGGATGTTCCAGACAAATCCTGCCTCTAAGTGCACATCAGATGGCTGATCTGATCCTTTTAATGAGTTTGTTTCTGTGGAAACTAAAAGTCTTTCCAATAGAGAATGGGCCTAAATTATGGAAGACAAGTTGCTGTTTTCAGCCTTATGAACAAAACTAATATTATAGATATATGGAGATATTTCCGCCATTGTCACTGACCCGGTTCTTCTGCAGGGCGTGAAGGAGCTCCAGAGGCTGGTGGAAAGTCTACCTCCAGTCAACTACAACCTCCTCAAGTACATCTGCAGGTACTGGTTCCAGGTCCAGATGGATGCAGTTCAAACTGAAAAAATCTCTAAAATCTTTCCCTCCTTTTTTCCTCTTTTTTTAAAAAAGATTTCTGGATGAAGTGCAGTCGTATTCAGGAGTGAATAAAATGAGCGTCCAGAACCTGGCCACCGTGTTTGGGCCCAACATCCTGAGGCCCAAGATGGAGGATCCCGTAACGATAATGGAAGGTTTGTTCTGCTTAGCGTCTGAGGAGCGTTTGTTTTGTTTTTTGTCTCTTTTTCTCGCCTGACGGCGCCGTTCGGGTGTGTCTCTGCGTTTCAGGAACCGTCCTGGTCCAGCAGCTCATGGCCGTTTTGATTGGCCGCCATGACGTGCTTTTCCCCGGCAACGGCGAGGAGGACAGCCCCACGGCGCTGGAGCTCGCCAACAACAACAACACGGCGTCCCAGAACGCCGAGAACAACAACAACCACACGCACCCCCCTCGGCAGTGCGTGTGGGAGGCGCCCGGGTCGCCCGCCGGCCGTCGCCGCGGGCAGCAGCTGGACAACGGCGGCTCGCCGCGCCCGGGGAGCCCCCGGCGGCGCCCGGACGCCGCCCGCAGCCCGCCGCTGACCGTGAAGAAGAACCCGGCCTTCAGCAAGGGCAGCGGCATCGTCACCAACGGCTCCTTCAGCTCCTCGCCATCCTCGGATTCGGCCCTGGAGAAGGGCCTGACCGTTGTCGGGGGCGCGCCCGTGCGGAGGGGCGGCGGCCTCAAAGGCACCAAGATGGGCACGGGGGGCGTGGCGGGCGGGGGGGGGCGGGGCCAGCCCCCCCGGGAATGGCGTGGTCGTCCCCGGGAGCCCCGGCGGGCGCCCGGCGCCGTGGGTCCAGAACGGCTGCGTCCTGCTCCGGGAGGCCGGCCGGACGCGGGACGGCGGCGGCCAGACGGCCAATCAGAACCGGCTGTCCACCTACGACAACGTCCAGCTGAACCAGCAGAACCTGGTCCGGACGGCGAGCGCGTGCCTGAACGGCGGCGGCGGCGGCGGTTCGGAGGACAAGCAGAGCGTGGACAGCGCCACCTGGTCCACCTCCTCCTGCGAGATCTCGCTGCCGGACAACTCCACCTCCTGCCGCTCCTCCACCACCACCTGCCCCGAGCAGGACTTCTACGGGGGGCCCTACGAGGACCTGGACGGGCCGGAGGGGGGCGGGGTCAGCGGGGCCAGGACCAGCACCAGGGAGG